CATGACCAGGGACACCTTCCTGCACCAGGAAGCTGAAATCTTTGGCATTTGGATTGGAACACGTTTAAAAAAAATGTGTTATTTTGCTTAGCAAATGCACTTGCAGCATTCTTGGGATTGCTTTTGGAAATGCCTTGGCTAATTCCCTCTGCCAGGCTCCTTGGATGCAGTGAGCACGCACAAGTGCAGCAAAGCAGATGAGACAAACTGGATGCATTTTTTCCTAAGCACACAGCAACAAAGCCTCCAAAACCCAGAAGAAACACCCAAAATACATAGTCAAACCAAATCAGGTGGAAAATCAAGCAAACAAGCCCTTCCCACACCCACCACGGACAGACACATTGGAATTCTGTTTTATTCCCAGCTGCAAAAGCCCAAGTCCACTTAGACACCAAATTCCTATAAATTAGTCATTATGCATTTCAAACCTGCTAAGATGGAGGATAAATATCTTCAATAAAAAGATGAAAATACAAATATTCCCAAGCTAACTGAGAAATCAGGGGTATGATCCTGTGTCAGGGACCAAAGGCRTGTCTAAGGCCCTGCCATATTTGKCCCGCTGTTGTGCACGTGGACAAGATGCCATAGAAGAAGATCTTAYTGTCAGTTGGTAGGATTGTAACCTTCAGAAATGAAAGCAGGTATGGGTCACCTGGTGGGACTCATCCTGTGAAAGGGGGACAATACACAATGAGCCRTTGTKGGCATGGAGCTGTTWCCATGGGGGATATAAGGTGTGCTCCTGGGCTGGAGGGTACAGATGCCATGATGCTCTCACCATTTTCATCCAGGGGATGCCCTGAAGGTGCACTGACTGTCCTTCCCACCCCTCCGGTTCAGAAGCCATGCTCCATCTCCTTCTCCTGCTCTTCAGCTTCTCCAGAATCCAGGGGTCGGGATGTACTTATTGCTAATGCAACTAATAACATGAATTTGCTTTGCAGCTCTGAGTGTGCTGTGAGTTTTTCATGCATGGGCATCTTCACAAACTCATAACAGATCCTCCTCATGAAATTCAGAATTCCTTCCAAATTCCTTAAACTGAACGTGCTGCTCCCTGAGCAGAAGTTTCCAAGGCTTTGCAGTGTGACCTCCTCACTCAGCAGAGCCATGGTGAAAACCATCTGTGGTGTTTGATTTTATCACCTCCCAAAGTAGAGACACCCCTCCAAGGGGCTGGGAGGATGGTGCCAAGGAACACAGGAGGTGAAATATCAATATTTTTCTGTAGGAAAAATGCACTTCCTGCACTGGGATTTCTGGGCTTGTCTCCAGTTGAATTAGTTGTAATTAAGAGCCCATCCCTGGATAYTTTGGTAATTGTGCTGCTCATCCCTAGTCTAAATGCCTGGAAAATCATAGCTGGAAACACACAAAAATACACTGGGAATGTGTGATCCAAAAAGGGAAAACCAATKGAAAGTCTGTCCTTTAATAAAGAGCTTTTAAAATGAAGACTGAGCTTTTCCCAAGAGCTTACAGGACACCAGGAAACAACTCTCAGGGTGCTCCTGATGGGACTTTTTTCTTTTTGAAACTGATTTTTTGTCACCTACTGACAGCAGCCCAGCCCCAGCAGAGCTCCCAGCTCATCCAGGAGCTGCCAGGAGAGCGGGACTTCAGAGAGCAGCACAGGAGAGGTGCATGTTTGAGTCAGGCAGGAGCATCCTGCAGGATCTCCAAGCTCTTCKCCAAGATTTCCTGTGAATCTGAATGGCAGGAACCTCCTGAAACCTCCTTTGGAAAAGCTGGAGCTCGGGAACACCACTTCTTTCCCTCCAAATAAAACACCAGCCTTGCCTCAGCCTCTGCTTCAGCAGGGACAGGCAGCACATATGAGAAACCAGAGTAATCGGGGGCTCAGGAGGAAAATTCCATCTTCCAATATGCCAGTCCTTGGAAATGGCAGCCCAGGAGCCACAGCCCAAGTATCTGGGCAATGCTGTGCCCAAGGGGAAAGAAAATCCTGTGGCTTCTTGGAGGCTTCTGACCATTTAAATGAGCAGYTACCTCCTGGGATGATGATTACTCTGAGATGTTTCAGGCTTTGCCTCCTAAAACTATGAACAACAACAAAAATAATGAAATAGTCCTGTTACCCAGGCAGCTGATAAGTGAGAAAATGTGAGGAGCAAAGGTTTGCAATTACCCAACTGCTCAGCTTTGCTAAATTCAGCTTAGCTCCYGATTCCCACCCTAAGTGTGTTGGGAAACATCAGACATCTGTTAGCAAACTGTCATCTCCAGGGAAAGCTTGGCTCCCCTCCACCTGCATGCTACCAGCCAGAAACTGCAACCCAATAGGAACCAAGCACCCTGAGCYGAGCAAACGCTGCCAGTTTGGGGGGATAAACCCTGAATTTGGGAGCCTTACCCACTGACAGACTCCTGCTTTGTGGTTTTTTTTTTTTTTCAGCTGGCCTGGTCACTACCTCAGCCATCATTGAGAAAATGCATTTCTGCAAATGAAAATATGGGATCTCTGCAAAAACTGGGAGAAGGGGAGCTGCAGCACCTGGATGGTGATGATCAGRGCCAGCCTGCAAGGAGACACAGGTGAAATGAGCCCAGGATCCACAAGTGGGGTAGGGAGGGAAATACATCCCAAAATAAAACCTTTCTGTGCCTACCAAAAGAAAACCCATCTCCTTGTAGTTTTTAGGATAGAGCAAGATTCTAAAGGGGTCATARAAGYATGGGATAGTTTGGGGTGGAAAGGACCTWCAGATGTTCCACCCACCTTCCACTACACCACRYTGTTCCCAGTCCTTTTCTGAACACTTCCAGGATGGAGCAGCCACAATTTATTTCTTATTAAACTTTGCTTCAGCTGACAGGGCACTTACAAAATTCAGTCTGTGAAAATGAAAGCAAAAATTGCCCCAAATCTCCAATCCGTGACTATTCCTTCTCTCCATCTGACTGCCCATACTTTAGCTGGGCTAAAATAACCCACCTGAGTCTGGTCTATYCATGGAACCTGGCCTGCCTGGTACCTTGGAGACACTGGGTCCGAAGCTACAGCTGCAGGGATCATTGCATGGAAAAGAAGAGTAGGATTTCTTTTCAAGTCCATGTTTTCAGGGCTGGGAATTTCTCTTGGATGCCCCAGCACCTGAACTCATGCCTTTCACATCAGGAGAAAATTGCAAACTMCCTGATTTAGGCTTTCCTACAGAAAGGGAGCTTTGAGTGGCAGCTAAACCAGACATTAAAGCCATGGCATCTCTAACTTCCTCTGGAAGGGGRAGGAGACTTGAAATTAAAAAGACAGGGTTAAAGAACTCACAAGTTCTTTATCCCCTCTCCTTTTCTTAAAGAAAATCCCTTTCAGTTAGAGTTTGGCACCACAAACGTGGTGCTGTGCTGTTAGAGGAAGCTGAGCTCATCCCAAGTTGGTTCAGTAGTTAAGTAAATAGA